TTGTCTTGAAGCCTCCTTCTACAATGTTGGCTTTTGGTTCCATCGAAGTAGATGCACCATTCCTTTTTTCCGTTTTGCGATTGTCTTCTTCTATTCTCAAACGGACAATGATATCTTCAAGTTTCATTTCCTTCCGCTTGTGCTTGAGGTAATTCTTGAAATCCTTCCATGAAGGTGGTAATTTCTCAATTAGTGCAGCGACTTGGAATGATTCACTTAGTTTCATTCCTTCGGCATGGATGTCGCTAAGTATGATCTGAAGTTCTTGAACTTGGGATATGACAGTCTTGTTGTCAACCATTTTATAATCCAAAAATCGACCGACAATGAATTTCTTCGTACCGGCATCTTCGATTTTGTACTTTGTGTCCAAAGATTCCCACAGTTCTTTTGCGGACTTAGCATTGCAGTACACATTATATAATGTGTTATCCAGTCCATTAAGCACATAATTTCTGCATAAGAAATCAGAATGCTTCCATGTATCAACCGCAGCCAATTTTTCAGCATCACTGTCTTGCTCGGTATATGAAGGCGTATTTTCTTTGAGAAATTTAGCCAGATTTAATGTCGTCAGATAAAAAAGCATTTTTTGTTGCCAACGCTTGAAATCTGACCCATTAAACTTTTTTGGTTTTTCCCCAGTCGTATTCGGGAGTGTGGTACCAGAAGTTGTCATTTCTGAATGCAATCAGAAGATCAACGATAAGAAGGAGTAGAAACAGAAACAAATAATAATTGAAAAAAAAAACAAATTCGTTTTAAGATTGTTGCTTCTAGAGTTTGAATTCACTCCTTCGAAAACAATCCAACAGAGTTACCTGAATGCAAGAATTGATCAACAGGATCCAAAATTATAATTTGAGCCCACCGAATTCACGATGTTTTCTTAAAACGAATTTGCTGCCTTCAATGGTACTAAAGGCGTCCAGCAATCGTTTCCCAGGATAGAACGAATTTTCGTCTCCTACGGAAGCAGCACTACAGTCTGTAGGAGTTCCAACGAACTCAACGAAGTGCGTTTTACTTCGAGAGAATATCAGAACGAGAGAGAGGGAAATGAGATTCAAAGCACAGAAAGTTTGCAATGAAAATAGTGTAAATTTTCTGGTAGAAAGGTTGGTTATTTATAGACTTGTTCGTGGCCATTCGAACAGTCATCACCTTTTAGACAAGCCTCAAAAATCCGAACAGACATACAGTTCTTAAAAGTCGTGTCTGTTAAGTCGGTTAACAGTCGACTGTTTGGTCGGAAAACAGTCGACTGTTTGGTCGGTAAACAGTCGAAACAGTCGACTGTTAAAAGAAAATAAAACACCCGGAATAAGCCAAAATTTAAATTTCATTTTGTACCCAAGAATTTGATTATTTACAATTTGGCCCAAAATTTTAAATAAATTTTACGAACGGCGGCGGCGGCGCGCGCATGTGGGTTTATGACCGAACCCAATAGGATATAGGTCTTCCTCCTTCCCTTGGGGCCCAAACCCAATTCCAAACTTCCACCTTATAAACCACACCAAAGTTTCCTAACTTTCCTATGTGGGATAAGTGTTTGGCAAATCAAATTCTTCCATAATCCTTAGTTTATGTGGGTTACTTTAACACTTAATATTTCATTCAATTTTAAATGGTTTTCGATAAATAAATATATCACGTTAATCATCTCGCGGAGTAGAACGTGAATATGCTAGGTCCCGTATTATTTAAGATTTGGGCTCAAAGTTGACCCATTAAACCATTTTTTCCAACAACATGATCTCATTTGGAGTTGGCTCAGCAGGTTGCACTGAATGAATTGTCTTCACTGTCACCATTTTCGTCTGGAAACGGAGGAAGAAAGGGGGAGAGAATAGGGAAGTACTTTTTGCTTTTCTCATCGTCTGCTTGAATGGACTACTTAGACTGAGATTGAAGTTGTGGATTCAATTCAGTGAGGAACACAGGGGGTGGCACGGGCGGTCACTTGATCCCCAACTTTTTGACAAATTATTACATTATTATTATTATTTTTAATAACCACCAATGATTTTTTTACGTTTTTGTCTCAATTTTCATTGTCATTACGGAATACCAAACGATGTCAACATTTTACATTCTTAATATTATTTCAACATGCTCATGGCCTAGTTTTCTACGTCTTCAATGGCACGTGAAACGATCAACTGTAGTTAATGTTATGGCTTGTCAAAATAGGTTATTCCAAATTAGTATTTCGAGAATTTCGATAAAATACTAACTTTAAAAATTCTTCGACAATCGTCTCTTTCCAAATTCATAAATCGCCTTCGTCATCTTGAAACTCTTTTCGAGAACTAGATCATAAACATGTCGAACGGTCCAAATAAATACCGAAAATAGTTAAATGAACGTCAAATGTGCGTCTTAAAAAGATGCGTCTTACTCGTCTTTTCTTTAAAATATTTATTAACATTTATTATTTTTGCACAACGAATTTCTCAATATAATTTACATCAATTTATTAGAAAATATTACAAAGGGTATGACATTATAAATTTTTGAAACTTTACATCCTAAAAAGTCATACTCCATGTAAATTTTCGGATGTAAAATTCGGTGTAAATTTACATGGGTATGATTTTTTTTGTGTATATTTTTTAAGGTGAAATTCCTCAAGTTTGGTCGTCCGCCTCAACTTAAAATGTCTGCGTCTGCCACGGATTCAATTAATAGACTTGTCGGGGTTTGTTATCCTAGAATTGTCTCCTTCCCTTCCATGTTTTATTATTTGCAAATAGCCTTATTACGACTTGCGAAGTAAAGAGCCCATGTTTTGTTTAACTAAAAAAGTTTATAAAAATTAAGGTTAAAGTTAATAATGCTATAAAATAGAGAAAAAGAAAAAGAAGAAAGCAGAAAAAGTTAATAGACTTGTGTACGTTTTATTGAGAACAAAAACTTCATCTTTATAAGTAAGAATTAATGTTTCAAGCAATATAATAATATCATAATAACTAGAGTGGTAGAGATATATTGGTCATTCACTAATAAAAATATAATTTACAATACCTTTGAATTATATATTATAAAATGTCGGCCACGTTAAATCTTGTTTGATAAGAATTCAATGAACAAAAACATCAAATGAAGGAAAGAGAGTATAAATAATTATAATAAAATTCGATTAACAAAATGTTATCTTGTTAAAATCTAGTCAATAAAATTCAATGTGACAAAACTAGATTTAAAAAAGAGTGTAGAATTGCTCTTCCTTGGTTTCAATAAATAAAAATTCCTGTATCAAATCATTCATGTCTTGTACATCAATATCTCCAATATCATTATTCTTGTGAAGTAGGTTTCGTATTATCTTGTTAGCATCCAAGCAATATCATTTTCACATGAGATAATATAACATTTGATAACTACGGTAATATGATTATTCGAATAACATCACTTATTATTCTGTTCAAAAATATTATACATATAAGAGTATTATTTTGAGGGTAAATATATTGTAAGTTATGGATATTCATTACACAAAAAATATACGTTTTTTAAATCTTACAAGAAAAAACTTGTGAGAAAAATCCTAATGAATGAAAAAAGTACATTATTCTTTCAGTAAGTTACAAAAGTTGCCTCATTAAAAGTCTTGCTAGAAAAACTCAATGAAATAAAACTTTGGTTAATGAAAAAAGATTGTAACATGCATTTATTCCCATCACAATACCATCACTTGAATTATACGCTTCAAAAATATTAAATCCTTTAAAGATAACATTGATAATCGAGCCATATGAGTTGGCTATAATCACATTTCAAATTTCATACATTGTGAGGCTAATGAGATAGAGACTTGTATTGCATCCACCAAAGGATAATTTATATATTTATATAAGTTTTTGCAAAATTCATTACGTTAAAAGTCATCGTTGAGCACGAATTTTTTTTTTTAATTTCTATGTATATTTTTTATATTCATCCACCAAACTTCTTTTCCATTTCAAACATGGTTAAGCATTTTTTTTAAAAAAAATTTGATAGCGAAAAACATTACTTATTTTAAAAAGCATCTTTTACAGTAACTTATTTATTCAAGATCAATGAAAAAAATTATATCTCTTAAAACATACCTATTTCTTAATATCGATTTTTCTTTTTAAATTTAGCCCGTCAACTTAAATTCCTGAATTCGCTGGCAACTTGGAGATTACATAAATTAATAGTTCGTGTAATGAAAAATAATATATCTGAAAACATATGTAAATGTTATTTAATAGGGATAGTAACGACATTGTTAACCATGGAACTAGGGGCCGACCAACCATTAAGTATACTCAACCAAATCCTTTCATCCATAGATTTCTGGAAAGCCCTCATGCTAACTTTCCAACATGCATAATTGCTACCATCAAAATAAGGCCGCACACTCAATAAAGTACTCATCTAGACAATTGTAAGGTCAGGACTCATGTTTAGGCTCTGATACCACTTGAAAGAATCCAAAACGTCTTATACAACTTCAAGCTTTAGAGTTGCCAAGTTTACATTCTAGATTACCAATTTGATCGGCCTTACGTGCGGAATATACTAACCAAAGAAATATGTCACTTCAATTAGTTTCTAAATGGTTAAACATACAATTCAATTTAATCATATGTTTAAATGCCGCAGTTTGTAATAAATTATGAAAAGCAGTAAAAACAAAAATTTTGATGACGGAGAAACCCAACGTGGAAAAAACTTTGGGACCAAGCCAGTTACCTCCACTATAGACAGTTCAGGGAATGCACAGCAATTCCAATAACTCTTGTACCCACTAAGACCCCCTGTCATAGTTTCACAACTACTGCCACAGATGCCTCTAGCCTGCCAGACCTCCTGATCTATTTCATGTAGCTTCCTGCTACCGTAGATACCTCTAGCCTCTTGCTCAACTTCCTGATCTATCCCCTGCAACCCAATCTGCTGTCTCATATAGCTTCCTAGTCTTACGATGAATGTCTCTCCAAGCGAAACACTAAGAATCGCTTGTTCTTGTGCTTGTAACTGCACTTCAATCCACCTCTCTCATTCCCCTAATGAGAAAGTCTCTTGCTCAACAAATTAAGGAAGCACAGTGTTTTGGATTAAGAATCTTGACATTTTCCCAAAATGTGGTCGAATGATCTCAAGAAAGGATGGAATGAATTCTCCAATTTAATGTGTTCTTGGATCTCTAGAGAATGATATGAAAGTGAAATATAATGATCAACCACACTTTTGGACGTCCCATAGGGTACATATTTATAAAGGAAAGTGTTTGGATGAAAATGGATTGAAAAACCAAGTATTTAAAGTAAAATAGAAGTCTGGACGTCGACATGTCGCTCGAGCGAGGAGCTAGTGAGAATTGAGTGACAGTTGAACAGTTATCAGTATTTTCATTATAACTTTCTCTTGATTTCCGATTGAGGTGATTCAAAATGAAAAGCTAACTCAAAGAGCGACAATTCTTCTAAATAGCCATGTCCAAATTCCATTGTTTTCTATACGAAAAGTGCATCGAAAATTACGATTGAAAATTTGAAACATAACTTGTGCGGCTATTTGATATCCTTCAGACTTCTAACTGCATTCCAATAGTTTTATGTGATCTTCTTGGACATTTTGGACTCATTCAAGGACTATGCTACCAACTCTAAAAGATTTTTTTGACTTTTACAGCTCTTTTACATTAATCAATTTGTCTAAAGAATTGCCAATACAATAGAAACCTAACAATCTCCCCCTTTGACATTTTGTGACAAAACTATACATTAAAGTCAATATAGTAAAAGCAAAAAAATCTAAGCTACCCAAACTTTGTTTCTTGCATTCCTTGTTAAATCTATTTTCTGAAATCAAAAATTCAAATACCCAGTATAAAAGCACATGATACAGGAAATATAACAAAAAAGCATTTAATCACAAATCAACGTGCTAGTTTGAAACGTGACATTGATGTCAATCAAAACACTAATTGAAACATTAGCATCACTAAACATCAAAACTCAAACAACAATGAATATGATATGGAATGCAATACAATGCTCCTCCTTACTGCAAACTCTCATGAATTTTATGCAATAACACAAATATATCTATATATCTCCCTAACGACCCTAGACATAGCAATGCAAAATGGTTCACATACAAATGCAAATCGCTCTATGCTATTATTTTCTCCCCTTCAATTACTCATTTCCTCCCCCTTTTTGTCACAAATGCTGAAGGGAATACTATCAATTTCAAACAGCACAATAACAAATAATAACTTAAAAATGCAGTTGATAGCATGCACAAGTAAAATCAATAGATTATAAAGCTTCCCACATACTCAGTTCAAATCAAAATGGAGTAAATAGTACAAGTAACTCATGTGTGTAAAGTGTCATCAATTCAATGTAAGCAGGACTCTAAACCTTAATTTTGTGAGAAAAGACATACCAATCACTGCAATAAGTATATTTTCCTGCTAATGAAAGTCAAACCATGAAAGTACAGTAGGACATATACTTATTATTTTTCTTATTTTTTCCCCCTTTTGAGCATTTATATTTTTCAATTTTCCACATTTTTCAACTCATCACATTTTCTCATCTTAAGCATAGGTTCTTCTCCATTAGGCGACTAAAATGACCCCTATAGCGAGCTTTAGGCCAGTTAACTCAAGTCAGTTGACCATAGACACTAGATTTTAAGAGACCCCACATGCTTAATTGCTTGAGTCAAATAGGTCTCGAAAAAAAAACATTACGATAATGAGCATTTACTTGGGAAAATCTTTTTGGGTTTAGGTCTACTAAATTTGGTTAAGACATGTTCGAAGTCACCCTATTAAAATGTGATGGCCATCCCAAATTGCACACACGTGATAGAGCCCACTAACGAATTCATAGTGTGTGCAGTACAGATGGTACATAAAGACACCTATACTAAATAATCCAAAGTAACCTAAACAAGTAATGAAAATTATTCAACAGCTCATCGATTTGCTCATACATGATCACAACTAGCAAGTTCAAGAATTATATAACATGCTACAGACGTTTTCCATATTCACCTATTTTTGCATTTTTCAATTTTTCAATTTTTTTTTTGTGTTTTTCATTTTTCCAAAAATGAATGTCCCACACAAAAAGAAAAATAAAGTCAAGTGCACAAATTAAACTAAATATGTATGCGCCAATGCATACAAATGAAAATGCACATGCATGGAACCAAAAACGGAGAAAAAAAAATAAACATAAACACGTGATGCATGCAGTATAATATGACAATTAAGAATAGGCATGCATCAAAAATACATAATCATCTAGATATATGAGTGTTCTTTCCTATAAGAGCACCGTGATCTACTGCAAGATTCGGCAGATCACTTTTCTTTACCCATACCTGCCTGGTGGGAGAATAGCTCCTAAACAATTGTGTCACCAATTTGGTCAAACGATTTACTTGATCAGTAAGGAATCCAATCTGACCAACAGACACCTAATTTTTTATTTTTTTTTCAAGTTCATGTTTTCCCTTTTGTTTAGGTACTGATAACATTTAGGGCGGATATGACCTAACTCGCCACAATGAAAGCATGTAGGGATAAACTTAGGACCTGTGTTATGTGAATACTGACGTCTATTTCTAAATCGATGGGTCCTACACTGTCTAGTGGACCTCTATCCTACAAATCCCTTTTCCTTAAGTTCGGGTACATGTTTAGGCTGATCTTTGGCAAGGACAAATGTGGTCTCAAACGTGCTAGCTACATCATGATCTTTTCCCTGATATCCTAGACCTTTCCTGTTTCCAGTCGGCTTGCCTATACCTAGCATGTTATCTAACTTAGACGACCCACTATTGAAGGCAAGAAGTTGAGACTTAGAATGCTCCACCTCGCTCACAAGGTTCACAACCTGAATTTATAAAGTCTCATTCATGGCAGTTAATTCGCTGACATTCCTAGAGGACCTCTCAAGCTCACTGGTGAGATTCTTAACCTGAGACTTTAAAACTTCATTCATTGACTTAAGGTCACTCAGAACGTTACTAACGTCTCTTTTTCCAACTGATGCTCCTTAACCGTCGTACTTAAGGCTTTGTTCTTACTAAGAATCTTAAGACTCTCCTGATGCATTTTCCCATATGCCTCTTGGATATTTTTCTCACTTTCAATTTCCTCAGCACTATCTATATAATATTGATATTTATAACATGTTATTTCTTATGCAATAACTATATAATATTTTGTAAAATATTTATATAACATAAATTTATATTTATTCAAGAGCATATTATTAAATTAAGATATTATTAGATCAACAAAACTTTTTAAATAATGAAATATACTAGATCTTTTAAAATTCTTTATTCGAGGGCAAGTAATATTTCATTGAAATATTAACATAATATTTTAATGTCTAGATTTGAGATTTTTCAAGGACAATAAAATATTCTTCAAGAATATTATTAAATACAAAATTTTGTTTCTTCCATAGCAACACAATATTCTTTTAAAATATTGATTTTTATAAACTAATTCAAATAATTCTGCAATATTCTTCTGTAAACTTGTGGATAGGAATTGATGAGTTCTTTAATTGGAGTTCCAAAATATATAATTTGACATTAGGGCACCGATTAATGAATTTCTTTTTGCAAGAATTTAGCTACTGTTCACATACAGATTTTATAATGAACTGCTAGATTTGTAGAACAATGATTTGTGAGTGTCTTGTCCGAATTTCATAACAATTGAACTATGGTAGGCTGAGATACGCAATTTTGATCACAACTGTGTAGGCTGCTCAGATCCTGCGAATTTTTGTATTTTTGATATTGGATTTTCTCTCTATTTTAGGTAAGATTTTTTTGTGCTTACAACATGTCATAAAATAAATTTAAAAAAAGAAAAAGAAAAAGAAAAAGAGAAGAAAGTAGAAAAAGAAAAAGAGAAGAAAGTATATGTGTATATACATATATATATATATATATATATATATATATACACATATACTCACACAGAGAGAGAGAGAGAGAGGATACAATTGTCATAATAATTAATGTTGCGGGTATAATAGTCATTAACTAATAAACATATAATTTACAACAAATATTTAATTTTAACTGCACATTTTATAGGATTCACAACTTTTTAATCACACGTTTCAACTTTTGATCAAAATTTATTGAAAATATGACTTTTAGCAAATAATAATAATAATAATAATAATAATAAATAAGTAAAGGAGGAAAAGGAGGGCATCTAAGTATCTTTAAATTTTTTTTATTATTTAAAAGACTTGTTTACAGTTAATGCAGGGTGTCATCAATTAATTTATAGAGTTAGTGGTGAAAATTTTTACCATTATTTGTGAAACTATCTCGAGCTCGCTTGTGCAAACATATGTGATTGTTTGTGATCATTTCTAAGTTAAACATTATCAAATCATGTACGAACGCACAAGACTGTCAACGAGCATTTTTAGTACTATGTTCTCCAAGCTTTACTATATAGAATAGGTGGCCCTTTTAAAGAACGGTAGAATGTTGGGTTAGCTCTGGTGCCTAAGCTTGGACGGATTTGTCCTTTGCATAGATCTGAATCTCTTGTGGAGGGGCTTAGGAAGGGGACATTTTCCCAAGACCTCTACTAATAGAAGTTCTTCCTTCGCACTTGGCAAGCTTATTCTCCCTAATAAGATGCCATAAGTTCAATCTTAAGAAAAAATCTTATGAATGAACGACGAGAACAAGAGACATGTGAGGGAAAAATTATTGAACAAGTCAAATTAGTTCTATTTGATCCCACGGGTTGTTCCATACCAGCAAAATCATTATTGAAGCACATGTGAATTAAAATGTTAAACATGTTGAACATGGATTCACAACAATTGAGTGAATAAAACATGGTATGGTGAATAGAATGTTAAAAGATAATAGATTCAATTAACAATAAAAAA